GCTTCTCATTTTATTGTTATCTTGCTGATCCATAAAACTACAATTGTGTGTCCCCTGAGTTTCTTTTATTTTTTTTCAAATTTAGTTTTCTTGGTTGCCCTGTGTAGTTCTACAACTGAATTACATTTTTTCTGTTTCCTGGTTTCATTTCTTCATACTGCTTCTCTTGTAATTTTTTTTTTTTAATGTCTGGAACTATATGCCAAAATCTGGTAATAGCCAAAATAGCTAAGTTAGATATCTATTGCTAAGAAGATTGTTTATATTTACTTGTAGTGGGCAAAGAATGAAGAAGTCAAGTTGGTTGAGAGAGGAGAAGCAAGTTCTAAGTATCTATAGCTATTTGGTAATGATTTCAGATGTGGCATTGTGTATTTATATTTTAAGTGTGGTTTTCACTTCTGCAAAGTTTTTTTTTTTTTCATGTGTTTCTTTTTCTTCCAAAGCTTACCTTTGATCTTATAATGACAAAGTCAGGAATACTTACGGGTAATTCTTTCCAAAGTGAATTGTAAACATACGGAACTTATTACTTTGAGAGCTAACAAAGGCTGTCACAAAGAGGGTCCAGAAGGATTCAGCAGAATTCATAGGTGGTAAATCCATACTAGATTATTAAGGAAAAGTGAGATGTTCCTTTCACCCACCAAACTCTTAGAAAGCATAGTCCATGTTCTAGGGATGAATAGGTGAGAGGTGAAGGGGTGGGGAATGTTACTCAAACTCCCGTGCTGTATAAGCACATGTTTCCTATCTCATTACGACACATATAAAATCACACTGCAATTTTATCACGTGGCTTACATTCCTGTTTTCCCAAAAGGTATGTGAGCCCCTTGAGGCAAGTGTCCTGATTGGTGGTACATGTACCTGAACCAGTATATGACATCCAGGAAGCATTCAATAAAATTGTTCAATTGTTGAATTAATACTATCAATCCCTGCAACCTCACAATCTACTCACTGCTTAGTTCCTGCATTCTGGCTCCCAGTTCCATCCAAATACTGAAAAGATGCTCTTAAAAAGTTGATAGAAAACTCCCAAATGGCAAACCATTGGTCTTTATCCTTTTTGATTTTACCACAGCAGATGTCATTGTTGAAAATGCCCACTTTTTCTGCCTTCTTAATACTTTCCTCTTCCTTTGCTCCTAGAACAATGTTTTGATTCTCCTCCCACCTGCCCAACTACTCCTTGTCTATCTTCTTTGCCAGTTTTACTTTTAGCCCCTAAGTGAAAGCATTTTCAAAGTTCTCTTTTTGGATCTCTTTTATCTGAAGAATCACTCTAATAATCCCTTCCATTTCCATACTATACCCAGAAATTTTACAAACTCAACCATCTTGTGATGAAATCTACACCCATCCTTTTAAGAAACTTCTGGACATCTTGACCTCAATGCTCTGCTGCCACTTTCAGTTTCACTTTCCCAAAACTTACTTTATCTTTCATCACTACTCCTTTTCCTGCTCTTAATAGTTTTCTCTCATAACCCAACTATCTTTCTAGCTAATCAAATTCAAAACCCTGGGATTATCTTTGACTCCTGGCTACTCCTCTTCTTCTTCACCTAAATTATCTCCTTTCACTAAGAATATGACAGAAGAATCCTAATTCATCATTCACACTCCTATAGATTAAAGGTCTTAATATATAGCTTTGATCATGTTCCTCCACTGCTTAAAAACCTTCAGTAGTTCCCCATTGCCTAAAGAATTATAAGCTAACACCTTAGTCTCTTATTCAAGCACTCTATGATGTGGCATCAACCTACTTTAAAAAAAAATATTTAAGTTCAATTTAGTTAACATATAAGTGTATTTTTAGTTTCAGGGGTAGAATTTAGTGATTCATCAGTTGCATATGACACCCAGTGCTCATCAACCTACTTTTCCAGAGTTCTCTCCATACTTCTATACTTTATATAGCCTATTTTCTTACTAGGTGGACTATTTGCCATGCTCCCAAAATGCTTTGCACTTTCTTACTTCTGTATTTTTCTTAATGACATTTCATTTGCCTGCTATCCCTACCTCCAATTCCAACTGCTGAAATCTATACTCACCCTTCAAAACCTTTTCTTCCATGACTCTTTTTCTGATATATCCAATAAAACATGATATTTCTTTCCTCTGAGCTCACAAAGTATATTATTAATAGCTCTAGCATAATACCTATTATTTTTTGCTTTATTCTGTAGTCTTTCTGTACCGTTTCCCTTTCCCACAAGACACAAGGGTCTTGTAACGAAGAAAAATCATAATTATTTCTGCATTTTCCTTCATGTGTAGCACAGTACCTTTCAGAGAACAGATGTACAATAAATTAATGAATGTTTAGGGGCTCATTTCCTAATCTCTGAGTTTGGTATTAGTAAAGCTTGTAATCTGGGTTGATATTCAGCCCATATGTATTAGTACCACATAGTGGCTTCTTATTGCTGTGTACATTCTGACTGGTTGAAGCCTGTGCTATACTAGTTATCAATATTTTTTTCAGTAGCACTCCTTATATAATAGTCTCCCTTGAAATGTCTTTTGAGACCCTTAGCTGAAACAACACTCTCAGTATTTGGGCTACAGGCAATATTAGGGAGCTCTGAGTTGCCTAATTTGGTAGACCCTGGGGAGGGGACATAGACTCAGTGTGAAAGTTTTATAATGTAGGAAACTAATCATACTATTTACTAACATTTTGACTTTCTAATGAAGAATATAAACCATCACCTCATTTTGTTTAAATAGTGAATCGAAAACACTGCAATTAACAGCACAATTGTAGAGCTCTGTATTTTACATACTATAATTTCCATTTGTAAGTGATAATAATGGAGATGGCAAGCAGAGCGGTACGTCTTTGCTGTTTGTGGCTCACGCCGATTTCAGATTTTTTGGCTATTCCCTCTTATTTTACTTTACTTGATAAAAATAGCCTTCTTTATAATTTGATTTTTCTGCTTCTATCTCATCATGTTGAAGTGGAGGTTACTGAAAGATGCAAGAATGCTGGTGTTGAACAGGGAAAGTATAACAATATAAATTCAATAGAGCATTGAAAAAGAACCAAATAAGGCACCTAGTAAAGTGAAAACAAAAGGACGTCAGCAGAAAAAGATGATCTAGTTAGGAAAGTCAGAAACAAGGAAGAAATCTGGGAAAATCCCCAGTTCTGTTGCTTCTAGAAAGAGGCAAGCAAGTCGGAGAGTTTTTGGCAGATTTGTCAACTCTATGCCTGCTTCTCCCTCTCCCTCGCGTGAACTCTGATGCTCAAGATGCATTAGCGATCATTGCCACCGTCTGCTTCTAGTTTCTTTTTACCGCTGGACATTTGCATTGGCTGCTGTCACTTGGAATGACTGCCAGAACTACTTGGGCTGATATTTTTGACCCTGTGTGTTCATGGAGGTACTCCAGCTACAAACCAAAGGAGGTCCCGGTTTAGATTATTTGGAATCAGTACTATGAAATTATGAAGTTTGTGAATCTATTCTTGGTGTTTCACAGTTGCTTGACACTATATTCCCTTGCGTACCAAACTCAGAGAAACCCTATTAGATGATCACTCTCTTTCTCAGTATAATCTTTCTAGAGTCAGTATGAGATGTGAGCCTAATCAAACACGGTCCTTAGCAAATGTATTTTAAAAATAAATAGCCTAAAAAGATGATGACAGTTCTTTTATGGTACAGAATAACATGCTTACATTTATCAGCTGCTTAACAGAGAACTGAATTGATAGAAAAATTATTTCAGTTTGCTTTTCACTGTTAATACTCTGATAGTTCAAGAAAGAACAGTGAAGGTTTCTATTTTCCTTAGGAGGTGGAAGGGGTCTCTGATAGCATGGTAAAACATTCTTATTTTACAGATAAAGACTGAGAGTAGATGAAATGGCTGCTTCAAAGTTACAGATTACTAGTGCTCCTAATATTCTGCTATGCAACACTACCTTAAAAAATTAATATGAATATACAAATAGAGATTTTACTTTTCTTTCCTCCAGTCTTTTACTCTTTTTGTAGGCCATCTTCAATGTCTTCATATGCATCAAAATTCACCCAAATGTAAAAAAGATGAATATAACTTATATTGTCTTCTGCCATGAATTTCACGATTGCCAAAAGCTTTCCTGGACAACTGTACTGGGCTCCATTTCTTTCACTGCTTTGTTGGACAATGGTTTTAAGAGCTACCACTTTGTATTCTGATGATATACGTTAGTTTCCAGTCCAAATACAGAATATTTTTTGAATTGTAGGCTATTCAAGGCAAATCTTATTAATCTAAATTAAGGAGAACTTACATATTTACAACTAATGCTCCCTTTTTCATTTACTACCCCATATAGCTCCATAGCCCATGAAGAGGACTTTTAAAATCAATATACCTAATTTCTTCCTCTTCTTCGAAGAAGATAAAACTAAAAATATAGAAATTTCCTTAAAGGAGGTGGATAGCTCAGCTACCTGGATTATTCTGAGAGGAACTATTATTTACCTCAGCCATAGCGTATGAACAGAGAAGACAGACAATTTTCTAATACCACTGTGCCCCTCTTCTCTTTATTAACATGGAGAATGGAATCTGGATTGTACTACAAAGCCAAAATGACCTCTAGAAAGAAGCATTATTTCAGTTTCCTTACCTGTAAATAGCTAATGTGGCATCCCTAGGGCCAATTCCTTTTAATGATTTAATTACATTTATGGTTTTATAAACCATGTTCCACCCAAACCCATGCATATAAAACAACAATTAATATTAAACACAGCAGGAGTCCTTATTTCTGAAATTTTTTTGCAAAGTCTACGGGTATCTGAAGATACCTTTGCCAAGGTGAAACTTGTGATCACATAGACATAGAAGCATGTTCAGACTTTTTAAAACATGAACTGAGATCCACTGTTAAAAAAAAATTCATGGGGAAGGTTTTTGGGGGGTGGTATTTGGCTATGAACATTCACATTTTATAATACCATGCAAACTGGAATGAGTTTTACCTGGATTCCTTGGAATCCGCTTTCTGCGGTCTCGGAATGCTGCACCTGATTGTAGGGCTTCTAGAAGATTATCCATCACACCAGTCTCATCACCCTCTGGAGGGAGGGAGAAATCAGAATTAATTTTGGAGCAATTCAAGTTAAACTACAGGAAAATAAAGGGGAAAAACTCCTGTCAGATTTACATAATATCCCTAAATTAAAGACTTATATCTGTTTAAACATAATGGATCCTGTCAGTTTCTGGCACCACAGACTACTTTGCTTACTATGCACCATTAAGCAAAATTCATGCCAATCCCACTGTTCTTTCAACTTAAGGACCTTGTCTTTTGTATTATTGATGACATGTTCAGTATGCAAATAAACAGTAGCTCATCAGCTACTGCTGCCTTCCTGTTAAGATTCTTATAAGATATTCCTAAGCAAGAAACCGATGACCTGGCTTAATGCAATCAATGTGCAGGGCGTGATTTGATGAAGCGGAGTTACACAAGGTTAAATACTGATTGTATTAATACCTTCAGCATTCAACCATCATCTGCGATTATCTCAAAAGACACTATTTGCAAAAACACATTTGCATTCAATTTTTACCTAATCCATATCCTTTACCCATTTCAAAATGCTGACATTATAGAAGGAAAAGGTGACCACATCATTTGAAAAGCCATATTTTACATTTGAGAGACATTAGCCAGAGTCTCATCATCCCTTTTATTTTTTAATTTTTTTTCATCATCCCTTTTAGAATGCTGTTGTGTTTCTAAGTTTTTCCTATGGGAAAGAACTGTTAAGATTCCATGAGCAGAGTATTCAAAAGATGTGCATGGAAATTCCTAATGCAAATGTATTTAAAACATTTTACCCTACCCTTATCTTTGACAATTCTGGCCATCAAAAACACTTTAAAGATTTGTTGGAACATTTATCTCAAGGTATTTATTGCCAGAAACTCTACTACACTGTGGGTAATCCACAGAGAGCTGAGACCCATCTTCCCATCTGGCCTAGCTGACAATAAAAGAACCCTAACTAAGTGGCTAATTTGAGTGGTAGCTAAATGTGTGGGTCTGGGGTAGAAGATATTTGTAAGCAGAAGGATTAAGAGAAGAAGAAGGCAGGAGAGAGGGAGAAAAAACTGACCTGGGTGTTATTCTAAAGTTAAATTTAAATCCTACTTTGTTTAAAGAATGACTATGGGGTATCATATCACACACACAAAAATATTCTCTTACAGGGCAAAAACAAGTTAAAACCTTTTTTGATTATGCCCTTTATTTGACTTGAGATCAATCATTTGTTTTTTTAAAATGAGTTTTCTAGGACATGATATTAAATAAAAAACAAAGGGAAGCAGAGAGGTTCTCAGGTCCAAAATCTGGTAAAAACAGGACAAATAAAAGGAAAGTAGAACCCCTGTGACTAACCAGGGAAAGGGGATTATGCACATTTAGGAATATTAAAGCTGCAGACACATCTGAACCATCACCTGCTCTCTACAGTAGAAAGAAAGGAGAAACTGAAAGTAGTTTGGTATGGTTAGAATGTACCCAGGAGAATGAAATTTTAGGCAGTAAGCACTTTACATATGTTGTATCTTTTAATCCAACTACACACTGAAATAGGTATCATCTCTGTTCTTCAGCTGGGGATACTGAAACTTAGAGTTTAAGGATCTCATTCCAGATCACACAGTTAGCATGTGGAGGGGCCCAGGTAGGAACCCAGGTCAATGTGACACCAAGACCAGCCCTCTTTGCATGCAGCTAACAGAAGACAATAGGCATATGGTGACCATATGATAAAAGATCATAATTCTACGATATGGGTTTGAGCATTATCCTATAAGTCAACACTCTCCAATAGATATAAAATGCAGGCCAAAAATGTGAGCTGTGTAAGTAATTTAAACTTCCTAGTAGCCACATTTAAAAAAATTTAAAAACAAATGAAATCAATTTTCATATATTAAGTAAATGTTTAACTCAATATATACAAAAGTATTTATTTTTTAGTCTTTTTATCAGATTAAGTCTCAGAAATCTAGCATGTTTTTATTAGCTACATTTAGCTAATTACATCAGATTAGCTACATTTCAAGTGCTCATTACCTATATGTGGCTAGTGCCTACTGTACTGGGAAACACAGCTATAAGCAACAGGAAGTAACTTGATTAGATTTTCATTTTAGAAAGACTTATTGGACAGCACTGTGGAGAATGACTCAGAGTATGGTGTAACAGAAGGCGGGGAAATGGTTAGGAACATAGTGTAATTGTCTAAGAGATAAAGGAGTGAACTAAAAGGATAGAAGAGTGAATGGAGAGGGTGGCTACTTTGAAGGTCTTAATATAGTTAATAAGACCTGGCTGAGGGGGTGAGATCAAGGGTGAAAGAAGGAGTCTAGATGATCAAGGATAAACAGGTATGAGAAAATATGATTATTTTTTTAGGAATATTTAAGTAGAGGGGCGCCTGGGTGGCTTAGTTGTTAAGCATCTGCCTTTGGCTCAGGTCATGATCTCAGGGTCCTGGGATCGAGTCCCATATCGGGCTCCCTCCTTGTCGGGAAGCCTGCTTCTCCCTCTCCCACTCCCCCTGCTTGTGCGCTCTCTCTCTCTGACACATAAATAAATAAAATCTTAAAAAAAAAGGAATATTTAAGTAGAGATATCCAGTGAGCAGTTAGAAATATAAGTCTGGATCCCAGGAGTGAAATCTGGGCTGAAGCTAAAGATTTGAGTACTGTTGGAAGATGGGTGAGATCACCCTGATAATACTATATGAGAAGAGAAGACACCATAGGATGCAACTCCTGAGGACCCCAATTTTTAATAGGCAGTCAGGAGAAGCAGAATTGCATAGAAGACATGAAAGGAATTTTTAGAGATATAAAAATACAACCAAAAGAGAACCACAGTATAACTGAATTTTATTCATCCTTATAAAAACAGTCATTATAAAGACTATGTAGAAAAATAAATATGTAAGTGAAAAAAACCAGACTATAAAACAGCATTTATTATTTTACATAAATAATATGCAATTATTAAATTTTATTTTTTTTATTTAAAGATTTTATTTATTTATTTGAGAGAGAGAGAGAATGAGAGATAGAAAGCACAAGAGGGAAGAGGGTCAGAGGGAGAAGCAGACTCCCCAGTGAGCAGGAAGCCCGATGCGGGACTCGATCCCGGGACTCCAGGATCATGACCTGAGCCGAAGGCAGTCGCTTAACCAACTGAGCCACCCAGGCGCCCGCAATTATTAAATTTTAAAACATTAAAAATTATAACAATGACATGGATGCCACTTCATTAAAATTCTTTAATGTAATTATATTCTGTATATACTAAAAATGGAACAAATATGATACAGAGAGGAATTAAAAATAAATCCCTTTACTTAATTAATGGTTGCCATCTGAACACAACACTCGTCAAAATATTATGCTAGGTCACTTTTTCTAAACCACTTTTTTTTCACTAGTTTCCCCCTCCCCCTGAGGAGCCTTTTTAGACTTTTTTCCTAATCCCTCCACCATTAAAATTTAATACAATAGATGTACTGCATATCTGTTTATATAGTGTGGCCCTTTGGAAGGCCACAATTGTAATATCTAAGATTTTTCTCTGCCCACCTCCCCAAGAACCAATATTCATCCCCTTGGGGGTGATACTGTTTCTGCTGAGAAGGTATGTGTTAGATGGTTCTATTAAAAAAAAAAAAAAGGCCAGGTGTTTGTAAATATCAGGGATGTATTAAAGGAAAGAAATATAGGTTTCAGTCCACCATTACTTTATCATTTGCTTCATAACTTTTCAAAAGAGTTGAGAGATTTTCATGAAATACTAACCTGAAGGTATGAAGGTTTTATAAATATATCTTAGAACTGTTTTATATTTCAGTTCCTCTTCTTAAAACAAATGGTGTTGGTCATTCAGTGGATACAGAATATCTGCTAATCTCAATTTTCATCATCACCAATTACCTGTGTTGTGTTGACTTAATTTCCCCAGGATAGTTTGGAGATGCCAATAGATTAAAATTATCACTAGGTAAATTAACTATCTCTGGTACACCTTTGTGCAAGACTATTCCCCAATGGTTGCACAAACTTATTTAGAGGCAATTCTCTGTGGGTTTCTCACATTTCCGTGCACTTTGTGAGCACAAGCATTGATGACCTTTGTTCTGGACTATCTTTTCAAGACTGGTTTTATAGTGAACAGCCTTGAAAGACACAGTGTCTCCCTTCAGCGCAGAGGGTAGGTCTGTTTGTTTCGAGGATAGATTATATTTCCCTACAGGGGGATCATTTCATTTCATTATAATAGATTTGGGTTCCTTAAACCTGGGGTCCTCAGCAGTAAAACAAACCCACTGTGTGCATAGCATACACCTGAACTCACCTTGGCACTGCCCTGAGGGAGTTGGAAGGTAAGGGAAAGCAGTATGAACATGAAGCTCACACTGCCAGCTGTACTGTGATAACAGACTTCTTGTCTCTGACCTAGGAGTCTTGTTTCTTATGTAAGCATCCCTGAAACTATAGCAGGCTTGCTGGTTAGCATATAAGTAGGGTAAAATTTCTGACCCTTCACAGTTTTTGAAAATACTCTGAGATGTCTTTTCTTTTTATCAAACATTTTTAATTACAATATCCCTTATTCCTCTAAGAACCTAACACTTAGTGCCTTGGGCATTCCCATTAACTAAGACCCAACTCCAGGTCATTACTTCTCAAAAATGACTAAACTAAAGCCAATAATATAAAAATTATTAACTAAGATCTTAACAACCTGAGAATAATGGCTTTAATTCACTATTATAGGGGCGCATAGGTGGCTCAGCTAGTTGTGTCTGCCTTTGGCTCAGGTCATGATCCCAGGGTCATGGGATCGAGCCCCACATTGGGCTCCCTGCTCAGAGGGGAGTATGCTTCTCCCTCTCCCCGCTGCTCGTGCTCTCTCTCTCTCTCTCTCAAATAAATAAATAAAATCTTTTTAAAAAATCACTATTATAGCCTCCTTGAATTCTCAGTTGTATAGTTAAGGTTTTCTAGAAAAGCTGAGCTGCTCAAAAGTTGAAGA